TGTTTTTTTAGTGGTAGTTTTGTTATTTCTCAATGCATTTTTAATACTAAATGATTTAAAGGTGCTGACAGGCCCACTGCACTATTGAACAACTACTGCAACCCAAGCATCAACAGCTCAAACTAAGACCCCAAAATTTTTACTGTAACAATTAGGCTATTGGCATTAACTTAGCTTATCTGCCCCCTCTTAAACTTATACGTTTTGAAGATAGGCCTACTCATTTACCAACAATAACAATATATTTACAAATAACTTACTTAACGCCTATCTAACCTAGGCTAAGGGGGCAGAGACAAAGATGACACTAACTTACCATACCAGACACAAGTTATGAACAGTAAATCACTACAAAATGTTGAATACAATTTGTCAATCTGAGCCTAAATGAGACATTTAGACTCACAACATAGGCTATCTGGTAACTAACTTATTCCGGTATTTGTTTACTTTAGGGGCTTCTAATGAATTTTTAAAAAAATGTTATTTTCTCATTAATTGGCCTATTTTGAACACTTTTTACATTTGGCACTTTTGGGGCAAACGCCTATTTCACCCTAAAAATCGCGTTTGAAAATTGCAAAAAGTGCTAAAAATTTGAGTGGTACTTTTACTCTTAATGTGTTTTTACTATTACTTAGGACCTACAGAACTGAATATAATCCAACCTAACTTTATCTAATCTAATCTAACCTAACCTAACCTAACCTAACTTAACCTAACCCAACCCTACCTAACCAATGCTTAGATTAGCAATATGCCGAAAAAAGCGGATTATTAGTTAAACCAAGGTTAGGTTAGGTTAGGTTAGTTTAGGTTAGGTTAGTTTAGGTTAGGTTAGGTTAGTTCAGGTTAGGTAAGGTATGGCTAGTTATTAAGTTATTATTTAATTTAATTAGCCTAAAATCACCTGAATATTTGAAATCTAACCTAACCTAACCTAACTTAACCTTACGTTTAAACTAACCTAACTATTTTTAAACTAACCTAACCTAACCTAACCTAACTTAACCTAATCTAACTTAACCTAACCTAACCTAACCCAACCCTACCTAACCAATGCTTAGGTTAGCAATATGCCGAAAATAGCGGATTTTTAGTTAAACCAAGGTTAGGTTATAATAAACATAACATCTGCTTATTACTACAATAATAAAAACACATTTAAAGAAAGGCAAGGGGGGGAAACCCTGATTTTCAAAGTAAAAATGGCAATTGCTGAAAAATTTTCGCGATTTTCAAACGCAATTTTCAGGGTGAAATATGCGTTTGCCCCAAAAGTGCCAAATGTAAAAAGTGTTCAAAATAGGCCAAATAATGAGAAAAAAACATTTTTTTCAAAATTCGTTAGAAGCCCCTAAAGTAAACAAATACCCTTATTCCCCATGGAAACTAGGCCTAGAACAGAAACCGGTATGGATCATAAACATTTAAATGAATGGTGTAACTGACCCGAATCCCATAACTTAGCCTACAAGGCTAATAACATTAGCATATGGTGTAGACAGTTCCATAGAAAGCAACGTTAAATGTTTGCTTTCGGGCCAGTTACCTCATTTGTTTATGTTTATTATTCACACCGTGTCTGTTCTTAAGTTATTCGTGCTATTCTCTTAGGTAGAGACTTCCGTATCTATTGTCAAAAACAACCGACTGAAAATATCAATCGTTTCATTTGGTATAGGTCTATCGGTCGATATTTTCATACGATATATCGATCGATATTTTCATTCGGTGGTTTTTGATAACAGGTGTGGAAGTCTACCCCAAAAATGAGAATAACTTAAGTTACGTACAAGAATATATAGGCTAAGCCTTATCCCTAGAATAAACTATGGGATTTCCAAAGTTCTGATTAATATTTAAATTAAATAGGCTATACATTCAAAGTTCTTAGTCTTATTCTGCACTGTCCTACCTTTCCTAGCCTATCCCCCTTAGAAAAGGGCTGGTAAGGCATATCCTTGAACTGCTCTGGCATATCACAAGGGCCCCATCCTGTGACATTATCTTGGATAATGGGGGGATTAAAATGAGCAACTTCTTCAGCTTCGCCAACGATACTTTCGGGTAAAGTCATTATTCCTTGAAATAAAATTAACAGATTGAAGGAGAAAACATAACCTATCACCAGACGGTGTCGGCAATGGCGATAAGAAAAGAAGACAGCGCGACAGTGGAGAAGAAGAATCCCAGGAACCAATGATGCCATTTATAGACAGTCACTAGGAAAAGTAATATAAAAGTTCGTACATGTAATAACAGTCTTACAAAAACCTTATCAGTACAGCCACTGCCCATGTCACTGCCTTTGCTGATTTATACAAATATTAATATTGCGAATGTAATCATTAAACCAAATAGTAATATGATAAAAAACTGATTAAAATAAGTATAACCCTTAGGTAAACTCATAGCTTAATTAGAAACATGCAGAAATTCACGCTGTATTGGCCAACTGGCTAAGCAAAAGTAAAATGCAAAAGCCGTATACATTACAGTATTAACTTTGAAAACTGATAGTGAACGTTTCATGCTATTGCAATTTTTCAAGTTAAAGTTGATGGTGGATTTAATCATTTATCTATAGATTTAAACATTAAACATACTCCTGATGTTTTATCTATTATTATACACCACACCTCTCCGTGGAGAGGTGTATAGTCAATGATTCAACTTTAAGCATAGCAGCTTAATGTTTTAACCGCATTATCTTTTATGATACCTACTAAGAGGTATAGTGTTTAATCCATCCCAGTCTCCAGACAAATTAAGAAAAAGACGAGGAATACTTTAAAACCCCAAAAATCAGTTATCCAAAAACTACATCACAGTATATTGAAATTGAAAAACCAATGGGTATGCTTTTACTAATTACATATTCAGTCGGGCCTTAAGGCTTCGATGGCAAATGCCATAAATGCTAAATGAACAAATTTAACCCCCTTTACTGTAAATTTGACGATAAATCCACTCTTGTCTATTAGCCATAATCAATTATCAATTGAGTTTGGGACGCCATGTATGTGCGTATTCTAACCCAAATATGGACGAAGGATGTGCGTGAGTGAGATGATCTGTGTAGCTTGACTTATCTTTTTATTAGCCAGGATCGTTATTTAAAGCCAGGAACAGCTGGGTCCAGTTTCGACCCATCAAAAAGTAAGCTAAACCAAACCCACTTCATCCTTTCTCAGGATCGATCCGGCAACCTTTATCCATTCCAATGTTAAAGTTGTATCCAGGGTTCGAGTGATAATAACTTAATTCAATGAAATGTTTAGCTCCCAACAAAGTTTACCGGTGTAAAACACAGTATTCGTTCTTTTAATCGTTTGCACCATGCACCAATTGTTAATAATGCCAAACTAAACTGAAATGGGGCTTCATTGCAAACTAAAAGCATCTATTATGTCCTGTCCTCATAAACATACAAATTTAAAAAGAAAGGAGAATTTCCACAGTAGCACAATCTATTAGAGGCTCTTTCATCTAAATAATTGCATAGTTATCTTTCTGCAAGACAGTCTCGAGATTTTTAATTTGATACTCTAAAAAATGTTTTTCGACTTCAGCAGTCTGTAAAAACAATGTAGTAATCACTAACGACAGATGGATTTTGTATTAAACTACGTACAGTTAGATCTACAGTTAGACTATGATTGTTTCCTTCATCGCAATCATTGGCGTGAAACGTTTTATGACTGCAATAACATTTAATTCGCGTTCCAACTCTCTAAAATATCTTGTTCTGCTACTGTTGGGAAAACGTCAAGTATCTAACTGATACTTGAGACTTACTAGTGAACTTAAATAATATTACAAGATATTACTGCAATTTGGTAATATGGATCGGGAGTCGTCAGAGTTCTCATTTTTGTGAGAGTTTCCCAAAGTGGATTTTTGTCAGTTGACGGTAAAAGTAGTCTTATTTTTTTCTTAAGTATAGTAGGATTTTGGCTTTGTTATGGCTGATATGAATTTGTTTTCACTTTGAATATTGCGGGACAATACTCATCCTATTACAAAACATGAAGCCTGTTAGGTTGTTTTGTTTGATGTCAGTTGATAAAAATATTCTTTCAACCAATAATTATAAACATTGTTTCTACAGCTAAAAAACAATTGTATACTAACCAATGAGTAGACTTCTCATCCTGCACGAAGCTCGTTTCTCGTGTCTAGTTCATGTCCGGTGACACTGGGAGTTCTGATAGTGTAGACGAAATTTTGTTTATATTATTTTAGGGTTAATTTAATGATTGACACTTTGCTGTTTTGTTATATAACTAGGGTACGAGTTATTGTTTATGATTACATAGGTTTATTTGGTTAAACGAGGTTTTAAATGACTGAACTAGCAAGTAAATAATTTTAAACAATAACACGACCTGTACAGTGCACCGGACAGAACTAACAATACAATTGGCTTCAGCTGTTCCATAAGGATGAGAAATCTACTAAGGGAGTATGATTTATCCATGACTGTATCAACTGCTGTTTTGTGGCATAAAATATGCGAATGGAATAGACAATCTGCTGTATTTTCCCTTTGGCTCAGTCAAAAAGTAAAAAATAATTTAGCACACTATTCCAGAGAATAAAATCTTTTATTGCCACATCAGTTTTTAAACACAGAGGAGTGAGAGGTTTACTTCTTAGTAATGTCCCTATAGTCAAAGACGTAGGGGTAACATACACAAACTTAAAATACATTCTCCAAACTTAGATTTTCCCGCGTCTACAAAGAACAAACCTAAACAACTTTCGCGTCGCACGCGCGCAGTAATTTAATTTCCCTCGCGATTTTCAGTCACTCGAAGTAGTCCGGCGCATTCACACCGTTGTGAATACACTCACCCACTTAGTGATATCACTATATCACTCGGCAACAATGGAACAGCTGATGCGTGGGTGTGCGCGTGCGTGCGTCGGTCAGCTGGGTATCGCTATCAGTCGAACAGCTGCGTTTGTCGTTACACCTGATAACCTCCCGGCGTGGCGGGTGTCGGCGGTATTCCGCGGGAAATAATCGATAGTGTTGTGTTTGCCAGTTCGGAGCGTGATGTGTTAGTGTCAGTGTTGTGTTTAGTGTTTTAAATACTAAAGAAGGGTGAGAGTGAAGTTAAGGTTTGGAGAAAAGTTAGCAACGTAAGCTCTTAAAACGTTAAACATTTTAAAGTTTGTAAATTTCGAATTGAAGTTTTTTTTAGTTATTTTAGTTGTTTAAGCTATTGAGTTTCTTGACCTTTACTTTTACAATTACGGTAGGTAATCGCACAAAGTTAAGAACACCAAACTATTTTTATGTAACCTTTGTCGAGTTAAAAATAAACCTTTAGCCCCTTACGTAGATAGGAAAAGGGGAGGTCCCTAAGAATTGTCACGTCCCAAGAAAGAAAATCTTCATTATTAGTAAGGTCTTTGAATAAATCGGTAAAAAGCAATCATCACAACCCTCTTTTAATGAGAGTAAAAATACGCTGCTTCTAAAATTTTGTTATTGTAAACACAGCAATTATATGGCGCACAATAACGTGTATAAAAAATGTCAATATAAGAGCTACTTTTTAAGAAACAACAAATACGCACAGTATTATACAAATAGCGCCGGCGGTTACAAAAACTATATAGCAAGCTATACCATCATATATACATAATTGAATCTGTTGCTTAAAATAACTAACTCCGTAATACCAATACATTAATATAATCTGAACCAATATCAATCACTTCATTGTACTTATTTCGTAGAAAACTAGAACACCTTACCAGCAGTTTTGTGATGAACCTGATTCCCCATGATGGGTATGAGTCATACAGACAATAGCAACATTCGTGTTGTAAATAAATCATAAATCATAAATCATAAATCATAAATCATAAATCATTTATTTGGCCAGATTTACATGAATGCATTGGCTAAGTCAATATACATTTAAAAAAAATACAAATTGTCTTATAAACTATAAAATAACTACTAAAACAAACAATATTTACATGTAATCAATTCATGAACCAAGCATACCATATGCCCATGACTACCCATCAGCAATAAAATCACGGACACGGTAGTAACACTTGGACACCAGTAATTTTCGAAGTGATTTTTTAAAAACAACAGGGTTTGACTCAATTTTTAGATGTGTTGGCAGTGCATTGAAAAGCAGTATACCGTTATAATAAAGATGTTTTTTGAAAATATTTTTTGTAAATACATTTTTTTTGTAAATACACCATTGTTGGATTAGCGTTGCAGAGAAGAATGGAAATCTGTAGGTTTATAATGTGTGAGGAGGAGTATTACGTAAAACACTTGAAATGTCAAACAACTTGAAATCAAAGAAAATGATGTGTCTAATTTAATTAGGAACGGCGACGTCGTATGTAGATATAGTTGAGTTTTTGAAAATAAATTATGATTATAGTATGAAGTTGCATAGATGATAAAGCAATGATTTTTACATGGAATTTTCATTCTATTATAAACTGTGAAATTTATTTTGATGAGTTTCGAGTTTCGTTTTCAGTTATTTATGTGTGACATGCTGATGTCAACTAAGCCTATTACGTGCCACTGTTCTGTTCTAAAGGGATTTTTTAGACACATCTTGCAGTTTTTTTTCTTATGGTAGACTAACTAGAGGAAAATCAGTAGTTGTTGTGCAAAAAATAAAGCATTTAGTAAAAATTTTAATCATTCAAATAATGACATCCTGAATTGAAAGTTCATTAACAAAACTAGGTGTTGATTTGTAAACTATGCTTGAACATTAAATTTGGCAAAACATGATGAAGAAGCAATTTTTATGTTAACTAAAACCTGTTTACTAAACGAAAGTGTGAATTTATTTTAATATATATACATTTTGAGCTAAAATATATTCATGCAATTTGTATATAATGTTATTAAAAATGAGATCAACTGCATTTTTCCTATGAGATTTTAAAAATTAAATATTGTTAGAACCTTTTAAAGCGTTACTTAAAGAATTTATCAATAATTTAAAAACAATTAACCTTCATTAGGAGATTGATTGTTGTACAATAATTATACAGGAAAGAAGGTTAAAAATGAATCCGTTTATATCCATATTAATGAGCTGTTACAGCATACAAAACAAGATGACGTGCTGAAACTGAAGGCCAACCTTGTATGACTATAGACACCGAAGTCGATTTTAAACTAAAACATAAACAGACTGATGTTATACCTTTAACACAATTAAATAAGTAATCGATATAAGTTAAGTACAGGTTTTCTGTACATTGCGTAATACTGTTTAAATCTTTATTTCTCTTGAGCCAAGAAGGAAAAATACTAGTTCTGTCTAAATTTCTACCAGAATGTTTGTGTATTTCTGTGGCGCTAAAGATGGCAATTTAGACTGCTTCCGGGAAAACTAGAACACCGATAACAGTTAAAAATATTTTTCCTAGATTATCTTTAAACTTTTAACTAGCTTTTAATGTCTTTATAGATTATAATGATTAGTTCATGCTCATTACAAAATAGGATCAATTTACTAGCATTTCATAACAATGTTATTGGAATTACTGTTATTTTGACAAATAGTACAAAACTATCCTTTGACAAATCGAAATTGGTACAAAAGTTACAATTTGGCATTGTTAACGTTTCACCTTTGTAAAATCCAGCTTGTATCAGTGCAAGTTGATGCAACTCACAATGTTATCATCTCACGGTGGTAATGATAAGAGCTGTTATCTCATTGTACTACCTGAACAGCTTCTACCTTCTAAACACTCCAGTACCAGACTAGATACGCATCAGTTGAGAAATATTTAGATTTGTCTTTGCTAGATTCACTTCATTTAGTTCTAAGTTATTGGCAGTTTTAAAATAATCTGGCTGTAAAAATTTGCCAGGAAGGTATTGTGTCACAAAAAAAACACTATTTAACCCCATTAATACAGCTGTATCATATAGCTGTATTCAATGGGAATGTGTTCACTATAATGGGGTTTCAGGGTTTTAAAACTAGGCTTATGTCATATATTTCCTAAACAATATTCGTGTGGTCAAAAAGAGTTTTTGTAAAATCTAACAAAATCTTGAATTTGTGGCTAATTGTTATAGTCAAGGCGTAGTATTCCCCGCGAATATTAGAACGGAAACGGCATGGATCATAATCATAAACAAATTATGTCACTGGTCCGAAAATAAATTTCCTTTTAACTGTAGAAACACCCAAACCAGCTGTTACGGCTATTATAGACATTCGGTATGACGTCATTTGTTTATGTTAACGATCCATACCGTTTCTGTTCTAATATTCGTCTCAACCAAAATGTCCACGAACGCTATTGTTTATAGCTCTGTGTCTTTTCTAGAACAGATTTATTAAATCACTTATCTCTTATCGAATGTTAAGCCGTGTCTTTACCAGACTTAAGTCACGTAGATCTAAACTTACAAAATGACGTCATATCTTTACGATTAACATATGTTAAATCCCGGTGTCCTTGAATATTGCATGGATACGCCTGTAAAATATATGAGCAAAAGCAAACTCATTTAAACGATTCTTAGATGATGAAGTAAGTTATATTGCACACCAACTGTCGATAATCCCTAAAGGGTTTGGTTAGTACAGGTTTTGACACAAATTTTAACTGCCAGAAATTGAACTGATTTTTCTGAATCCCTAAGATAGTATTTGTTTAATAAAACATTCGGACTCAAAATCATCAGTGAAAATTTCAGGAACAAGACTTGAGAGTTTGATTTTAGGAGTATTTATGACGCATATGAATAACTTGAAGAAACATATTACCTGTTTATAGTATGATAGTATTCATGTTGTGTTGATCTTAGAGGGATGTTTATTATCATTGAGTCAAAGATATTATACAAACTTAGGACATCTGGTACTTTATTTGTTTACCAAAACATTCACTATTCACATTTGTTGCGTAGATAACCTTTCTCTAACCTCCTTAAAACCGGATTCCAACAGGAATAGGCTAATAGACAGTTTACCAATAGTAGTATCTTAGGATATACGTAACCGACCATAGAAAGGGACAACATAGTTAGGTTTCAGTACCCTCTACAGCATTTATACAGATTTTGAGAAACTTATATCAAATCACAATTTCACAATTCTTTCAAACTTCTTGAATTACTGAAACTGTACTCATATTCTAAAACTTTTACTTTATTTGAGCGTTACGCGTTGCTAACCTTTCCTAACCTAACTTTCTAGCAGTACATCGGAGTGCTGGATGTGAAATGAATAGTTGCAATGAGTGCCAAACACAAGATCTGTCGTGACCCTGGAGACACTGAGTCCGAGGAGGATGTGACAGAATCCTTGGAGAACTGTGACAACTTTGCGGTGAACGAGGCTCTCCTGCAGCGGGCGCTTCTGCAGGAGACTCTTCTGCAAAGGACACTTCTGCATTCCAACGCTTCTTCGCCGGCTTGGGACAGCGACAGTGAGAGCGACAGTTGGGTCAGCTACCAGAAAGATGTGGGAGTCAAGAGTTTCTCAGTGTCTCCGGATATTCATCGGGAAGATGTCGACAGCGATGAAGACGAAGAAGATAAAGATGGTCAAAACACACCATGCAGTTCCACCTCGCCTGTTAAACGAGAATTAGATATTTTCTCAAGTTCAAGATGCGATACACCAAATATGAAGAAAAGTGAAAATAATGTAGACGAGAAGTTAAATGGGACTCCTAGAAAAGGGCATGTTAGGAATTTAAGTTTATCTCCTAAAAAAGACTTTATCGACGAAGCAATCAAGTGTAAGTTGGACGACATAATTCATCTTCCAAAGGAAGACGAGAAATCAAATGGGATATCAAACAAAAAGGGACATGTCAGAAATTTGAGCTTGTCTCCTACAAAATACTCGCTTGTTGCTGAAGAACTAAAGTGTAATAAGATCAACGATGTGACATCTTCAATTGTTGAAAATAACAATAGTATCGAACACAGAGTGGCAAGAAACCAAACCTTTACGAAAACAGAGAACAAAGATGAAGAAAGTTCAGACTTGCAAATCAACCCGAACATAAGAAAAATAGCTCCTAAAAAGCCGAAACCAATCTTGAAAGAATCCAGCATCGAGAAACATTCAGAAAGTCCTAGATTAAATAGGAAATTCAACAGCGTTTCTCCTAAAAGAAAGAAGAACAAAACGTTGGCGTTGTCACTGGATGGGAATTTAGAAAAGGAAATTTCTGAGACTCCTACCAATGAAGATATTCTTAGTGATGGAAGTGAGAAGACGAACAAAGACAGACTCGCTAGGACTCCTATAAGGAGGAATACCTACTTGAAACGGGACAGTAGACCGAAGAGTGAAGCTTTCCTGGATTCTTTGGCGAAGGATGACAAACCTGAGGAAGTCTACAAAAGTAACATCAGCCTCAACAGTGTGAGTCCAAGTGTGCAGAGTTTCTGCAGCGAGGGGAACGACCCGAGGAATGGCGAGGAAGTCGACAGGGTTGGAAACGTGGAGCAGAAAAGATCAAACTTCGCGTTCATCAGGGTGAGTAGATTTTTATTTTCCGAACCTCTATAAGACAAATTTCAAAGGGGTAGGGAAATTTCGTATTATCGGGGTGTTCTTAATAAAGAGGTTTGTTTTATTGAGGTTTAGTTCTGCCGTTATTCGTCTTATAGAGGTTTCTCCTCGCTCTGAGGAATGGAGTGAGGAAGGTAGAGGGATGAGCGGGGGTTTCATGTTGAGACAAGCTTCTGTTTATTTTGAAAATTACATATTATGGAGGTTAATATAATGATAAATTCGTCTTATAGAGGTCGCATTCGTCTTGTAGAGGTTTTGTGCTTAGAATATTCGTCTTTTGAAGGTGTTTAACCTAATTACTACGTTGTAATGTACTGTGGTTGTATAGAGGTGTTTTATTGACCTTTATGAAAGTTTAGAGGGGATTTAAAAAAATAGTCTTATCGTAGAATTAACTTTACGAGGTTTGACTAGTGCTGTTGATCAAATGATAGAGTATGTCGACTGTATAAATGTGGCAACCAATGTTTGTCTACGTCGAGTTCGATTCGTGTTTAAATGTTCTTGTGTGTAGTACTAATGGTACCTATTGTGGTTAAAAAATATGTTTAGTTCCAACACTGTTTGGTTCTTATACTTCAATTTATTCTTTTGTTCAACAAATTTGACTGGAATTCCTTTAACAGCTTAAGCCGATTTTGAAAACGTCGATTTTTACAGAGCTCAACTTAGAATTGTTTTAGCGGGAAGGTTGAACAAGGAAGAAATTGGCATCTACACCCAAAAGGTTGATTTAATATGCAAACAAAATAATATAACGGTTAACAATTTATCTGTAACATTTTTGAAACTCCTAGGAAATTATAGATTAAAGACGTTCCTGTAGAGAAGTCTTTCGTTCTCTAAAATGCTTATGATACACGCAGGACACTGACATAAAGGCTTTTTCAAATAAAATTTGACTCAATTTCAAGGTACCTAATTGTATTTTCAGACAACACAAATGGCAATAACGTGTATACAAATGGCGATAAAGTACTAGAAACCTGTTACCCCTCAAAAAAACTATGTGGCTTCCCTAAGAACGAGTACTAAGCAGTGAAAATACCAAGGCAAAAAAAATTCCAAATCAATGGCTTTATTTCAAATCTATGTAAATTCTTCTGACAAATGCATGCTTATGTTGATTGTTGGTAGCTACTTGCAAACCTCGTTGTTCAAGAAAACAACTAAGGGTTTCCTAAGAATCATAAAGGCAACACATTAAGTAAAGTAGGATGATATAAATTTGAAAGAGAAAAAAATAGTTGTTTCTGATATCTCACACCTCGTCATGGCCGGGCCTCTTCAAGGGTTGTCGGTTGTCTTGTCCGGTTGTTCTGTCTGGGTCGCAATCGGACACTGAAAGCCTATTCCATCTGTTACACAACGATCTCATTTGTCACTCAGATCTTCTCACATTTTCTGTTTGTCACGCATAAAACCATTTCAGGAAAGAACACACGGTCACAAGTTAGTTGTAATCAGTTGTATACTGTTTCCCCCAAAAAACAAAGAGATTGACGCAATGCAAATTATAATATAAACATTTCAAAATACGAAGCATTCACAACATTAACGAAGGCCATCGAATAACCTGTAGCGTCATCCGTTAAAAGATTCGTCCTCAGACGTCAATGATGTCACTACTCACACTTGTGTTGACGGCCTTCTGTTTTTCAAGTACATGATTAATCTTACAGAGATATGTTATTGGGATTTTATCTGTTTGTTTGGATTTTGATTTAATTTTGATCCCGAGTTAAACCGTGTAATACAAACTGTGTTTTACAAACATGTAAAGCATTATATTGATTCAATGTACAAATTATTGATACTTCCGACAATCTTATCGCTGATTGTTAGAAAAGATGAAAAAAAAACTGTTCGTAAAACAGATCGTAAAAATGATACTGGAGTTGACTAAAAGTCAAGTAGCTGTTTTAAAAGCCATGTACACGAGTACAGAAAGTAAAATAAAAAAATTACGTGGTTCCACACAATATATTGGTTCTTCAAGACGGATAATTATCACACAAAAGTATATCTATTTGACAAAAAAAACTTTGCTTATTCCGAATCATTCACTTTAAAACTAAAATATCAGCTGACGTCGAAACGCACAAAATAATAAAAACGAAACGATAACTTAATGAGTAATGAATTTGGTCCTTCGATCCGGATAATAATCAATCGACTGAGTTATTTTCAAAACAATTTTGTACTTATATACTGTGTGGAACATATACTGTGTGGCATACAGTCAATGAATTTTATAGCAACCTTATGCCTTCAAATTCAATGTATTTGATTTCTCACATTGATTACTCGCACAAAACTGTGTATTTTTTTCATAAATATAAATAATCTACAATTTCACATCTCAAATGTCTCCAATTATTACCTCAAAAAGCTGTATAACCTGTTTCGGTTACAGTAGGCATACTAGGTAGTAAACCATTACTTCCCAGGTATCAAATTACGCGGGTAGTAACAATTGGATATCTTTCCCTCCAAATGCGTTTCCCTCGCAGGCGCGATAAGCCCTGCCAGATCAGCTGTAAGAGTCTTACCTACCATGAGACACATTGTCAGCTAGGGGAGATGTTTCCATGAAGCCCTAGAAGGGAGAAGCCGTTCTAGCAGTCACGAACAGCGCCTGTGACGCATAAGTATTTCACATCTCTGGGGGAAAGTTATAAAAAATATACATAGTAAGATAACTCCAATTCGATTAAATATTCTTTTCGGAAAATATCTTGAGGATTTTCCAAATACATGTTAATTCAAGTGAAAGTTTCACTCTCAATTTCTTTGTGGTCTCAAAAAAGTATACATTTAGAGGCTGGGGGATTTAAGGGTCATATTGAGGAGGAGATTGTTACCCTACCTTATTTGACTGATAGATTTTGCAAAAATTCTATTTCAATGCTGATTTATGGAAATAATGGTGAATTCAAACACATACACTGGATTCTACTGTCTAGTAGTAAAGCCAGTAGTGTCTAGTAGTATTTAATACGTTGTAGGCCTATTAGCTTTTACCGTCGCATATTCAACATCACGTAAATCTCATCTGTTTATTTAATTTTATGGTGATTCTCGAGTATAGCAAGTTCATCGGATCCAAATATTTATAAAACATGAGATAGTTTAAAAACTCTAATTACAGAGAAATAATGAAGTATCAAATTCATTACTAAAATAAACCGTCCTTAAATTTTTAAAGAATCACAGTGTCTAAACCAATATAAATTATTTTTAGGTGACTTTAAGATAGAGAATATTTATACCCTAATCAATACCACCCACGTTGTCTTTCCTCGGGTTATGTATGAATCAGGACCTCTATGATAGTATAAACAGACACTAATGGCATTGTCAATGAAACATCGTTCCAAACTCAACGTGTTTTTTTAACTGTGTTTAACTAGTTTGATTTATAGAGATTTCTAATTGATTTGATCATGTCAATTAATATTTGCGGTATTTGGAAGCAAACTAGTGCCAATGTTGTATGTAAAAAATATTGTTTGTTCGATAATTCACATTTACAGAATGAATAATCCATTGACTAGAACTGTTTGACTACGAAAATGACCACGTTGACAACAATGAGTCGCTATGACATCATCGACAGTATCACATAGGCAGTGGCAGTGTGATGGCAGTGGCAGTGGACGGTAATGTGATCATGTGAGCATACGTGGCGTCACGGGTTCAATTAACTGTGGGCGGACCTCAGTGTTTGAAATCAACGCTGGGCTGATTACTTTCATGCCTTTCGAAACACGGATTGAGCCAATGAGAGTCATAGGAGCAATTACTGTTGCTTCAACAAACAATAAGTGAGCAACGAACTCGCAACAGAAAAAACTGAAGAAGACTGTTCTAGAAAATCCTTAATAGACACAGAATCCACAGAGACGTCGCTATAACGTCGCAGAAAGTAAATGGAAGTAAAACCCACTTTGAGAGTAGATTTCACAACATTCAACCAATTTAATCAACTTATCAATTGGGCTTTGTTCCTGATCATTGGGCTTTCTGACTAATGAAACAGCTGATCTTAGTAAGTAACAAAGCTACACAGATCATCTTCCGAATGTTATGTTAAAATACGCGGAAACTGGAAAGTAAAGAAGATTGTTTCGAGGCTGAAGACCTTGATGCACACGTGATGCTAATGTTGCTATTGATGGGTGATCATCTCTAGAATAGCACCAGTCGTGACCGCGACTGGGGACTTGCATGGAGCCTTCAAGGATTTCTGGTGAATCTTGTAAAATGCTCCACGCACTTGTGAGATATGGCACCTATGGATGCGTCTGATGATGGTCTGCTTCCAGTTTTGAAATTTTCGATCACCGAACATACGTTTACTTTGGGATAGAAAAGGTGTAAAGTGGTTTGCTGTACCTATTCCTATTACAGGGAAATTGGTGTACAGTATTTCTAACTGCTGAGCAAAATGGGTCAGAAATCTTTTACAGGGGAAATTTTTTGAAATATAGCCTGTCCTCATCCCTGTTCTCATTTTCCAGGTCCCAGCTTTAACTCTGTACCTTTTCGCCACAAAATAAAGAGAAAGAATAAATAAAGAAACGTCTCTTTGTTCTGCGGTTTAACGTGTACAATCATCGACTTTGATAAGTGCATGGAAAAGTGCTTATCCTAGTGTAAAAAGAACCTCCCACCACTTTATAGAAATGATCACATTGCCACACCTGTAAACAGTATGCAAAATATCTCATTGCCGCTCTAGAGCGGGAATGTATTATTCTCGCTCGTAAAATCAGCTGATTTCACAGTTGTCCTTTCTACGGTATTACGGGACACTTGATTAGATAGCGTTGGCTCTCCCTTCAAGAGCACTTACTGAATTCACATGGTTGAATATTGGTTCACTTGTAGGGTATCATAGTATGATGCAAGAAACGTTTACGTTAACGTTGGATGGCCAAATTGTGGTTAGAGAACTC